AGCGTACAAACATAATAATAATAACTTAACGGAACTTGGAATGAAAATAGTCTCTCATGGAACAATGGGGCAGAAAATTCAAAATGTGAAATAGTTTTTGAATTTTGAGGCGTCAAAGGTGGCCCCAAATGGTTCGTGTAATATTACACACGGTGTTGCTCGCCAGTTCTGTTACTTGAACTTGGCTTGACACGCTACCACTTGTCAAAATATATTGTAATGTAGAGATGTGCATTGAAAGTAAGCTGACCGTAACCGCATAAGCCATTTCGGAAAGATAGTAACCTGTCTACATTAAGTACTTAATACCTTTTACAAAATGACTTAGGTAGTGTTTGGTTGAGGTCAGGATCTGCGGTGGCTGTCTGCCATAAGCTTCCAACTAACTTATTTTGAAGTCAAATATGTAGTAGATTAGACATAGTACAAAGCATTATTAGATTTATTAGTGCAATATCTCAGCGTTGTCTGCTGATTTATCATTGGAGATCTTTTCTAGACAACCTTCAACAGTGCTTTCGATTACTAAACATTATTAAGTTTATCTATCCTTACTTCTTTAAATCGTGAGTTCGAAAAATGGGAAGCATTTAAACTTTTCAAAGCGATTTTTGGCCTGAATAGAATTTCAGGATATCTGTTCAAAACTGTGCAGTTAGGTACCTTGTTATTTTTTTATCGAGGTATAGAAATCTGATAAATTGTTATTTATTACCCTAAAATCAAATGTAGGTAACAATAAATAAACTTTTAATTGATCAATAACTATTAATTGTTTTTGTATTATGCGATCTAGTGAGTGTTCAATATAGTTTTAGAAGAACTTATTTATTTCTGGATCTTCAATTTAATTTTATTTATTTGATTAATAAATTATTATTTTTTAATTTAGTTTAATTTAATTTTAATTTAATTGAAGTAGTTGTTTTATTAATTTATTTATCTGTTCTTTAATGCCTTTTAGTTGGTACATAAGGCGAACTTAATGCCACTGGGTATTCTCTGCCGGTTAACCCTTGTAGCCCAAGGGTTATTAGTTAATAAGTAAAAGCTGTTTTAACAATCGAAAAAACTTAATAAGTACACCCACCCAATCTATTGAATTTGCTTTGCTGTATTGCGCAATGCAATAAATTTTCATAGGAACAGGCCCGTATCAGCTTACGGTGTTAATGATCCAACAAGTCTACCTAATTTTCAGTTGCTTGCACATTAAATTATAATTTTTTCTTGCAAAATGGCACATATCGTAACTGTATAAGATGCCTCAGTGTTCGTCTTGATAATCTATCGTCCATACATTATAATTAAGGTCTCAAAATTGACCCTTGAGGAACACCGTAAGAGCGGGCCTTTTAGGGAGGCAAAGGAGGTACGGAATTACTGTGTATTACATTAAAAACCACAAAGTATTATGACCAATAAAAACAGCCTGTAGTAAACAATAGAGGAGTAACTACTACATTATCATTAGCTTGTATTGAATTCTTTAAAGCTATTTCAAATAAATAATATGCAGTTTTAGTTAAAACCAGCTCTAATGAAGATTGGATGTACTTACGAGTATTTAAGACAAAGCAACTCCCACGGTCATTAATTACTGCACATAAAATTATGGTAATTCCCTCTATTGTTTAAACGCTGTTGAGATGACAGCTAAACACAAATAGTGTCCAGTTAAGTATTTACCAGTTTACCTACATAATTTGTGATTGTCATCACTGTGAATTGTTTTCACATACCTATATAATTATGCTCATAGAGTGAGTTGATCCATCATCATCGCACAGTTTGGGCTGTATTTTAACTTCTAAAAATTGAAGTTACAACTGCACAGTATGATATACGACGATGATTAATTATTGATTTAATAAATAAATATCCTTTTATCCTTTTACATTTTACACTGCGCCGCTAGTCCCAAACTAAGCAAAGCTTGTACTATGGGTACTAGACAACGGATATAAACATACTTAAATACTTTTTTTTTGTAAATACATACATATTATACATAGAAAACACCCAGTCCAATACAAACAAATATTTTCATGCACACAAATGTTTCGTCGGCGTCGTCGAACAACGACGTATCTGCNACTTTAACCGCTGTATCCGATGTAGACGCATCGCCGCACCCCCTTCTTGAGCTCGCATCCCGGGTCTCGTCCTGGAAAAAATTAAAACGCATTACTGTTTATGTCTTACGATTTATAAAAAAGATACCTAACTCACCTTCAATCGAAGCACCTCATCTGGAATCTGCTGAACTCGTTCTTCTTCGAACGCTACAGAAACAATATTTCAATGAAGATATAAAAAACATATCCAATGGTAACTTGCCTTCCGCATCTCTCAGAAAACTTGATTTGNTGATGAGCTCGTTTCACACAAATTCACAGCTTCTGCTTCTGCTTGCTCTGTACCCGTGGACTGGATCTCTGTCTCAACCAAAGCAACTGGTTGAACTGCAGCAGCATACTCACGATCATTAGTTGATTTTTCACTCACTGTATCTAACTCGTACACGCCATTTACTTTTGTAGCACTGGCAACTACATCATTTCCACAATAAATGTTGCACTTCTGTGTATCAAAATGCACCTCAAGCCCCTTGGAAGCCATTTTTCCAACAGAAATGAGATTTGTTGACAAGCCTGGTACATAGATAACCTCACTTATTTTTGTAGTTTGAGTGTGACCTTCTAACAACAATTCCACTTCACCATGACCCTCACTGTGCATCTTTTGATTGTTGGCTACTGTCACCATACGTGGACTATCCAGAACATAGTTTTGCAGCAAGTCTTTGTTGTTTGTCATGTGACATGTTGCCCCAGAATCAATATACCATGCACTTGAATTAATGTCTACAGCTAATGCAGTCAAGAGAGTTCCGTTCCATGCTTTTTCAGTTTTTGTAGGACAGTTTTTAGCATAGTGGTTCGGTTTTTTACATATGAAGCACCTAACACTCTTCGTAGAATACACATTTTTGGTAGTACGGTTTGTGAACATTGCATTTTCTTCACACTTGTCAAAGTCTCTGCGTAAATTCTCCTGTAGTAATTTGCTTCGCACTGTTTCACTGCACAATTTAATGTTCGAATTTTCCAATGCCATTATGAGAGGATCATAGTCTGGCGGCAAACCGCTTAAGATTAGCACTGAGAGAAAATCATCATCTAATGGAGCGTTTATGTCTCGTAATTGTTGATCTAGGTCCGAGATCTTCAGGAGATACGCTTCCATGTCACTAAATTGCTCCAATTTTAACCCGAACAGTGTACGTAGGAGTCCAAGACGTCTACACAGCCCCTTGTCTTCATAGGCCGTTTTTAGGTTGTTCCAAGCTTCAAAACCAGTAGTTGCATTTCGTACATGGGAGAAAGAGGATGGCTGCACCATCAAACATATTTTTGCGAGTGCCCGTAGTTGTTTACGATCGTCATTTACTCTGGGTACGCCTGGCGCGGACTCTTCGATACAATCCCACAAGTCTTCGTGAATCAAGTACATCCGCATCAAAAACTTCCAGTTTCCATAGTTTGATATACCACTGAGTTTTTCAAAGTTGACTGATAGTCCAGAACTCGTAGCCGTAGTAGACATTGCCGGCACATTGGTCGGCACCGGCAATGATGGCGGCGAAACCCTTTTACTTGCCATCTTGTGTTGTGGGTCCTTTTTTTCAAAGATACTTGCTCACTCTTATCTTCCACGTAGCCTGGGCCCATAACCTGTTAGGTTCTTAGTCATAATAGTTATCTTCTTCTGAGTAAAAACATAAAATGTATTACAGTATCATTAGAAACACATTAAAATCAAATTATTGTAGTCTCAATTTTTTATTTTATTTTTTAAGCAATTTAAAAATAGAACAAAGACGCAATTGGAATACCCGTCCCTAGTACAAAGTCGGTTGTGTATATCCGACGTCAAAATTACCAAACTTTACCGAAGTACAACGATGGTTCTGATCAAACGTCAAACAAAAGTCCTTAGAACAATGTAAGTTCAGTACACCCGCCACCAAAAACAATTATTTTGTACCAAACATTCTTAATGTTTATACTCATCAATCTACCTACAAATACCATAAAATAAAAACAAAAGGACACTGTTTCTTTTATTTTCGAACTTCCTAGTACAACGACGGGTGTGTACGTACGTCACAGTTTTTTTTTCTCTGACTTCCCTAGTAAAGAGATGGTTGTGACTTTCAGTCATCAAAACAATAAAGTGTCCAAACTTGTAGATATAAAGACGAAATTCTAGATACATTCAATAACAATACGAATACAAATGTATAAGCTATTCCAACAAACGATGTGCAGTCTTCCGAAGTACAATGACGCTTGCACAAACACGTCTCTGTACTGCGTTAGAATAATCACATCCGTCGGTGTTCGATTCTGTATCTTCGATATTATTACGAATTTTGAAAAATTAAAAAATTAGTTTATAAAGGGGCTATTTTAGAGTAGTTTAATGCAAAAAAACAGATTTTGACGGTTGCGATCATACGACGTTGTTCGACGACGCCGACGGTTTGTACTGTGCGGGAATCGAACCCGCAACCTCCGGAATAGTAGTCCGTTTCGAACCACTACACCAAACGGCCGACAAAATTTTTGTGTTTGTTTTATATTTATCAATTATAATTATCTACTCCTTAATGTTCAGTACAATTAATAAATTATTATTAATGGATTACGTTACACTTTAGTAATACAGCAAAAATATTTTTATTTTATTTTATTTATTAGGACAACCAACATTATTAATTCAATTCTATGTACATACCTACAGATTGAACAAAAATAACGCGAATTCCGTAATAGCTCCGAGCAGATAATTTGCCGGTGCTTATCTGAGCGAAATCAATTTGGTGGAGCAAAAATTGTTTGCGTTTAGTATTGTCTTTTTGCAACCGCTTGCATAACCACCATCAGCTTGACACTGCTATAGTTTCAAGCAAATTAGTCGATAAACACGGCGCGACGTGCTAACTGCCTCTGTAAATTTTAACTGTATTTTTAGTGTGTGAATGAATCGTCAATGTAACTTGATAGTGAGATAATAATGCACAGAAGGATATTGTCAAGGTTTGCATCTCGTAAGAAAACTCACAGTGGCTGCTAATGCGTCGTCTTTTCCGCGAGTGTCCGCTGCGGACGATGCATTCTGCCGCGAAGATGAAACTACGCATTGTTTAATTAATTAATTAAAATTAGTGGCAATTTATCAAGTGTAAGTGAATAATATAAATTGAAGTTTTGTTTCGGATTAAGTTAAATTTTAAAGTTGTGGTCCCGGAAACATGCGTATACGCATCCACAGATGACGTCGCTTCCTGTGACGTAATAAGGATTAAAAAAAGCATTAGAAAACCTGGAAAATGTCCGTTGCAAACTCTTGCCAGCTGTTAACGCTATTTATTGGTAAGTAGGTAAATTAAATTTTACAAAACTCTGAAGTAACAGATACTATCAATCGGACTACATTTTTTTTGATACAGTTGCGTATTCTGATCTTAATTAATAAAAAACATCCCGATCTACTAATTTGTGCCGAGAGTAGAGTGAATTTCCCTTTCTCATATTATATCGCTTTCGCTACATTTTAACAGAATCCTTACGCCACCCGTTATAATAAGAAATGATCTTGAGGTCATGGCTAAATTAACACCTGAAAAGGATGACTCTACAATCTACATGTTTACTCTAGTTTTGGAAAAGATTTTGAAGATAAGTTGAAACTCGTATTTCTACTGAAATATCATATCATAATAGAAAGAAAAGCGGTCACTAACATGGAAAAGCTGAAAATTATTATTATGCAAATAGTGGAAAAAACATTTATCTGAGATAACACAGGTGGTTCATTAAAATCTACTTTGATTGTCAAAGTGATAAGTTAGTAAATTGTTTTTATTAATTTAGTAGAAAGGAATCACATGTGACATGAGAGTTTGTATTGTCCTTCAGCACCGCGTAAGACTTGTGTAGTTGTGTGTGACAAAAATAAACGTAACTTTAATAATTGGTACCAACAATAACACTTAATTGATGTTAATTGTCAAGCCCGTCATTACCACTATTCGTTATGCATAACATGATACTAATTAAAAAAGTACCCATCATAAGAGAGCTAGTTTTTGCTTTGGAAGAATATTCTTTACCTTTAGCGCTTTAGCGACGCATTTTTTCACATGCCTTGAAAAATAAGCAAATTAATCTTAATTGTGCTAAAAATAGATACGTAATATCTAATAATCTTTATGGAAACCATTGAATTCATCTGTTGACAGCAAACAATAGTTTTAATAAACTCCAACAAATAGTATTCAGCCCGGCTTCGTATTATTATTTTCTACCTATCGAGACGACCGTAGGTAGTACAAGTTTCATTTGTAGAGAATGTGCATAAACCTAATTATGTTGCTAAATAAATACAAATAGTAAAAAATCCGTGAAGAAAAAATCTTGTTGTATTTCAGCATCAGAATCACCATATCTGTCCATTGTAATGTGTACGACCCTTCTCACAATAGGTAAATGTTCAAACTACATCGTTGTGAAGTGGGCAGCAACTCACCCTGATTGAAATAAAAGTTACATTAACAATACTGTTTTTTTTTCCAGGCATAACTGAAGTATGCTACAGCAGCCGCCCAGTTGGCCAGTGCAGCTACTGCTGCCCAGCAGACGGCACTGTCGACATACAGTACAAACTGTTCACTAGGTACGCTAAGTCCAAAAAACTGTGAGCACATTATTAGCACTAAAACCAAAATCGGAAAAAATTCCAATGACGAAAAAAAAGGTACGCTGAATGCAGCACACATACGTTATCAGCGAGGATGAAAGGAAAAGTATTTACACAAATAGGGTTCAATTGTCACGAACATAAAGTGCATATTCAGCACAGAGTATTGATCAACTCGATATGCACCGTGTGTAGGGTTACCAGGTCCTGAAATTTACGGACTTTTGTTCCGAAAAGCCGGGTCTTTTTTCGGCCATTGTTTCACTGTTTCATTCGCTCGAGCATTTTCAGAGACAAAACGCCAAAAAAAGCGACACAGGCTGGATTCGTAAATATTGGTCATAACTAGACATCTGGCACTGGGAACCCGTATGCGTTTCCTATTTGCTATCACTGGGCGACCTGCTAAACGCTGTATTGTGTGTACTCTCGTTTATTCATAGAGTTAATTTTTCAATTGTTTAATATTTTAATCACCACATCATTTACGATCTCGATTCTCTATGTAATGAATTGCATCTTTATCATTTAACCTACTTACAGAGCTTCAGGCAATTTTGATTGAGAACGTTAAATTCACATAAAAAGCAATCGCTCACTTTAAAAAACATTCCAAGAAAAATATAAATGCTATCGAATTTGTTTATTTATGGGAAAAAACACCTACACTATTAACCTAAGGGCATTGATCTGAGTTAACTTCACTTTTCGCCATCAGTCTCACCCTGTATTGTAGTTTTGTAGTACGAGTACGAGGTTGCGTGCCGACGCGCCATTCTCGTAATTTCGCCGGGGGCGGATAATCTGAATGCTCAGACTATTGAATCAGAATCGCGGAGGCTTGATCTAATGTTTATTTTTGGTAAGCCAAAATCGATGACAAAACGCGTACCTGCGTAGTAGCTATTGGCAAATATTTACATAGATAACTTTCAGAAAGTATTTTGTAAGTCAGCAGGGAAATGCTGAGAAATAAATTGAAGAAGTAATTATATAAATTCAAATTCAAATTCTTTATAGCTAACTATTACTTAGTCATTAGACAATACATTGGTAAGTATTGCACTAAACTTCTCTACACGAAATTACAAATCTTAATGTTTGTTCAGGGTCAACTTCAGAAAAGTAACGTAATGATATAAAATCTTACTTATCGCAAAAGTAATCTTAGACGTAGACACTGGTATTGTTTAGGCATGGCATTTGCGACTGATATCCTTGGTTTATTTAGAAAATGATCGATCGTTAGCCTAGCCATTAGACTCCCAGGTTCTGCGTTCGACAGTGGACGCCTATGAAGTCAAATATTGAACATTTATGTTTACTGGTATTTCGCATTTTCTTTTCAGAGCAAATCCACGCATCTTCCAAGTGCTTCAGCCAGGAACAGCGGCGGACCTTCAGCGGTCAACGTTCGACTTCACGCGACCTACAGTCATATACCTGATGGGCTTCTCAGAGTCCACCACTGGGCCTAGCACTACCACTTTGAGAGACAGTAAGGAGGACAATAAACCTTATTAATTTCATAAAGATAGAATATGAAATGCTTAGACACATTGAAAATATGGACAGAGATTTTTTACAATTTCGAAAATTAGTCATAGGTAAACCGGTGAAGGTCGCGGGAAGAACCTGGATGCTGGAAAGACCGGTCCTTGGGGAGGCCTTTGTCCAGCAGTGGACGTTATTCGGCATAACACGAAATTAGGAAAAAGGGTGGAAAAATATCGCATTTTAAATTACAAAAACGCGAATTTGATAAGTAGGTAATTTGAATTCATTCACAGTAATATTTGTAAACTAATGACCCATTAGTTAAATTAGTTTACACCCTGTATGAAACGATATAGAGATATTACATATTACTCAATTCTTATTATTTTACTAGACACGGTAACAAGAATAAAAGTGGATAAAACTAAAGACATTTTACTACTTGAACAGTAAAATGTTTGTGTAGCGAACTGCATAGAACTTTGTGGGCGGCGGACAAAAACCCCTTTTGTGGAGAGCGAAGTAAAAACATCGCCAAGGGGAGATGAAACGCCCGGGGCTTAGACTAATTGAAATCATGAGGGATAAAACCGTGGGACACTGCAATATTGTCTTTGTTATTCTTAGACAGTATAACTTTTAAAAAAAATAAAACCGACTTCAAATGCGTGAACACAAAAAAAAACTAAAAATTGAAAATATTGCGTATAAAAAAGTTCATCCCCAATTTTCCACCCTTGGGGGTGAAATATTTTCTTCAAATTCGCATGAAACCACCCTTTTGATAAAATACCTATTCAACAAAAAAATAATCGTTCAAATTGATTTATAATCGGCGGAGATATTGCGTATAAAAAAGTTCATCCCCAATTTTTCACCCTTGGGGGTTGTTTTTTCTATTATTAAATTTAAATGGGACCACCCTTGAGGTATTACCTATACGCAGAAAAAAGATTTGTTCAAATCGGTTCATAATTGGCGGAGTTATGGCGTAACAAACATAGAAAAAAAAAAAACATACGGGTCGAATTGAGAACCTCCTCCTTTTTTGAAGTCGGTTGAAAACAGTCTGCAGTTTATACATCAAACTAGCAAAAAAAGCAAGCTATTGAAAGCTATAACTTGATAGACTTCATAGAGATAGCAGGCCGCTGAAAAAGGGATGTTCGTGCTTCAGGGCGCTCTCTTTTGAAATGTACTTCTAGCAGTGAATTTTCATAGACTGAAATGATAACGATGATAACCTACTTAGGGAAAAACCCTGGAAAAACAATGATAAGAATAGCAAAAGTCGTGTTTTGAATTCAAGTCCGTCACCGTATATTGCCCAGAATTTAAGAATCGTAATAGATTTTTCATTGTTTACTTAATTTATCTCTCTTAAGTATAACCCACCCATTCCACAAAAAGTTGTTTTGACTCTACATACATATACAAATAACACTGTGTTGTTTTGCAGCCTATTTAACAGCAGGTGACTACAACTTCATCGCAGTGGACTGGTCAAGACTGATAGCGTTTCCTTGGTAAGAAATAGAGCTTACTTTCCTTACGAGGTCTATTGAACCTCGCGGCCTCGTACGATTGTCTCAATAGCACCATTAGCTTCTCTAGATCTAAAAATAAACTAGCCTTGCCATAAAAGCGCAATTAGTTTTTTAGGTGCATTCTAATTGCAATCAATAAAGAAGTCAAATTATAAATTCCGTAAAAGTTCAGAGTAAGAAAGGTACAATTTATGATAATCTGAGATTTAAATATCTTTTGAGCAACTAACTACAAGGTGAAAGGAAATCAATAAGCTATTATAACCACACCTTCCTGGCAAAAGTGGCAAACGACGTTTCATTGACGAAAATTATAGATACCTATTTGTATACTTAACCTTGGAATAAAACTAATTCTTGCCACTGTTTTTACTCCTCCAATCTGACATGTAAAGAGGAACGTTACAGCGTTTACTTATTTCGCCATGGCCGTTAGCCAAATACATGAATCTGATTTAAACGCTGTTCCCACCATTTATGTAAGTTACGTGTTACGTACCTATTCCGTATTTATATGGGTCGAATGTGACATGAGCGTTATCTTTATGGGTATGTATCTAAAATATGCGGGCTTGGCTTCCTACGGTTAAATTTATTACACGACATTCAACGTACTAATATTTTTATTATGCTAACCTACGTCACACTAAGCCATGCCCCAAACGATGAAAGGGTCGAATCTGGCATTTAATTATTTACTAGTGAATTTCAGGAATGTGTGCGAAAATTGTTAAGTTTATTTATAATAACGCATGTTGTACGTCGGTTCCAAGTATGGTTCCAACTTCCAAGTAACCTATTTAATAGATTTACCTGAAAAATTACGCGTTACATTATTTTGAATGAGGACTAATCAGTTGGCACAACTAGCAAGTGACAACATAAGCCAACAGTAGAGTGCTTAAACGATAGCACTCGTTGAGTTTGCTTTTTTCCTCAATACTAGAGCCTCGAGGATGTAGCAGACCTTCATTCAAATTAGTAGGTTTAATTTTCGAATGAGTTTGAAAAGTTCTATTTATTTTTTCTGCATTTTTTTTAAAACTGATTTTTTTGTTACGTCACAAAAGTATGTAGACGTTATGAACCTGAACGCTGCAGGATCATTAGAGGTTCTTTTAAATATGTAGTCTATCTGTTGACTGTATCTTTCTATCTACTTTCAGGTACATAACAGCGGTGCGGAACACCCATTACATGGGGATGCATCTGGCCAACTTCGTCGAGTTCCTCCAAAGGGCCGGAGTCCCGGCATCCTCGCTGCACGTCATAGGGTTCTCCCTAGGGGCTGAGGCCGCGGGATTCGCTGGAAAGGACCTCAGGGCCAGAGGGATCCGCTTGGGCAGGATTACAGGTAAGCTGATACAGGGTGTAAAGAAAAGAAGCAGTCCCTTAACTAGGGTGTGTGGTTTTCCTCAAGCTTAATAAAAAATAAAAATCAAGTAAGAAACCAAATGTTACTAAACCTTTTTTTGTAGAAAAGTTCACTCAAATCACATGCACATCAAACTGCCTAGTTTCTTCAAATTATTGATCCGAGTACTCGGATTATTTTTTTAATGGAATGAAATGCCACGTTTTTGAGCTTTCAAACATTTGATGTCTTAAAATTCTTTTAGAATATTTGTTGCTTAAAAGTAAAGGAAATTACGATAATTTCTGTTGCTTTCAAAGTAAACCAAGTTTTAAGCTTCTTTCAGTGATCAGAATTACAATAACACCACGGTCTGTATTTAAATTTGTTTGGAGCCGCAACAAAATGCAAAGCTTAATATTAATATTTAAACGGAATAACTTCCGCTTACAAGCCCGCTCCGAACTATCCCACTGAATATTGTATGATTCTACCAAATACCTACTTTAAATTATTTAGTTACTAAAGAGTATCCACCAGATTTAGTCAAGTTAAAATATTAGGTTACTTTTTAAATTGATACGTCTGGAAATAGAATCACTTCTTATAAATTATTCTATGACATAATTTACAACAGCGAAATTGGAAATCGATCGCGCAAGATAATCCGTTACGTGTAAAACCAGCATCACTGAAAACTGAACAAAGTGTCATTTGTGCGAGAATTTGCGTAATCATTTCTTTAGGTCGTACGTAAATACTACGCTCTGTGAAGCAGTCACGAAATTGCATTCAAAAATATTTGCTCTCTCAAGTCATGCGGTCTAAGCATGTCCCTAAGGATTGAGGAGCCAATGAGGGCTATCGTTTTAGCGCTCACCAGTTTGCGCCACTGGAGAGTAAGGTCCTGTCACTTGCTAGTAGCGAAGACAGTGGCACCATCTGGTGAGTGCTAAAGTGGTAGGAGGACTATCGCATTTGCACTCATCAAGATGGCGCCACTGTAGAGTAAGGTCTTTCAATCGCCAGGGGTGCCAACTGTTAAGTATAAAAACGATAGCCCTCATTTTCTGTACATTTTTTTATTGTTGTGTTGGCAGGCCTGGACCCCGCGTACCCAGGCTACAGGTTTACCAACCGCGACGGGCACCTGTCAAAAGGGGATGCATTATTCGTGGACGTCATCCACTCCAACCCTGGCATCCTGGGGTTCCCTCAACCACTGGGTGACGTGGACTTCTACGCCAATCCTGGCAGCTGGATCCAGCCTGGCTGCTGGGTGAACCAGCTAATCCGGAATAATCAATTGAGGTACATTTGTAAGTATTGTTGTATTTATTTCAAAGTTTTTTTTATCTACAACAAGAAAGCTCTTGGCCTGTATTTCACCTGATGGTAAGTGATGATCAGGCCGAAGGTGATTTCATAGTTGATATGCTTTAAAATTAAATAAACACAAATGTTACGCGAGTTTCTCTCTTGTAATCTGAAGCTATATGCTGCAGTGTAGCTTTCCACCATTTTTAACCAGTTCAGTTCTTCCCAATACAGTATGTACCCCTCAAGCCATGTATTTGTCAACGTGAAATTGTGAACTCTGACATTTTATAATATAACGCGTTAGATTGTAAACTAGCAGTGGGTTAGGTTAGGTTAGATTGTAATCTAACTACGTCAGATTGTAATCTGACGGAATTCACAATTTTACGGTGACATATTCATTAGGCATCATTTGTTGATAAACTGTTTATGACTAGTGTGAAACAAGTTTACCATAAACACGGGTTTCTGAAACTTGACTGTCCACACTTGCTCTCCACTCATAGCGGGGTATTATATACATGTATCATAACCTATGTTTATGGACTGTTTATAAACTGTTTACAGAGATGATGAAACATTATGAAACATTGTTTATGAACAGTTTATAAACAGTGTTTATCGACAAATGTTGCATAATGAATACATGGCTTTACAAATTATAATTATAACATAATTATAACTATAACTTTTGTTTACTATGAACTATCAAGAAATAAGCAATAAAATGGTTGCTAGTAGAGCTTTTTGTATTTCTTTCAAAATACTAAAAACCACAACCACTATTTTTATAATTAGTAACAACGATAAAACAGAATTAAATCCACTATTGTGTCACTGTAATATTTTACGAATCATCGCAGCACTAGAGAAAAAAAAGCAAAAAAAAAACAAATGCCCAACCAAAAAGTTATGCAACCTTATCCCGCTACGGGACTCATTAGCGGGTAATAGTTGCCACAGATTAAATAAATTACGCGGCATTGCAAGCTAACCGCCGCATACTCAGGCCGCATAATATTCGGCGATCGATGCTCTGACGTCAGCGGGATGCTGCGGGGGGTAGGGCGGGCACAGAGACTATGAACCCTGATTATTTGCGCTCAAAATGTCTATTATTACTCAGTCTTGCTCCTAACGAAGCTAATTTCGTCTGACTGAATGAAAAAAACCTGAAAATGGCATGTTATGTTGGCAGAATTGCAGATCTTGAAGAACAAAGGGAATTTAGCTCATATTGTCCTGAATGTGCTCATATACGCTGGAATAAAATGAAATTTTAACTTCAATAAAGTTAAAATAAAAACTTATTTAAAAATGAGACTACTACTATACTACTACCGGGAAATCTCGTAGTACTGCTACGAAAACTTTCGTAGCAATAGTGTTCCATTTCATCTTCATGTCATATTTTTAGTTCTGATTCCTGCTGGACACAATGTAGAACTACCTTATTTTTAACGTCCCCTTTTGGGTCTATAAGTAGTAATAATAGTTAGAAATTTATTATTTATTTAAAGCAGTTTGGATTTATTCTTTGATGTCTGTTACATATTTGAGTGTTATTAAATACGGGGCTAAACTGTAATCTTTCAATCCTTAATGACCCGCTTCGATATGGAAATATGTAGGTAATTTTTTCATGCTCATCGAGAAGCTATCAATCTTAGGTTAAAACATACTTAAAGGACTGCTTCATCATCATCATGATTTCCTATTCCACTGCGGTGAAAATTATATGCAGCGTTGATGTTGGGTTTTGTAAAGATGTATGCAAAGTCGCATCGATTTCCCTGTAAAATAAATTATGGAACAAAGGCCGTGTTAAGCCAGGCTACGACGCGATATTGTTTTTATGAAAAACACAAAATCCTGCTGTCACGCTCGCGTTTTCCTTACGGCAACAATGTATAGGAACGTAGGATTATTTAATCTACGTTATTAGACACGAGTATGTATAAGCTAAAGTACCTACATCGATTATTCGATTATTTGGATTAACTCGTGGTTCTAGATATAAATATCAGTTATAGGTAGGTAATTTGAGTTGAGCTTTTACATCACAAAATCATTGAATATTTTCTAAAAGAATATTGAAAGAACACATACATAAAAGTTACGCAAATGAATACATTACATAAAAGAAGTTATTACTCACAGATTACTAATAATAAGTGTAACCCAATAAAGTTTTAAATCATAGTGGATCTACTTAATCCACGTCAATTGTGCATGTGTTCCAAAAATAGCTAGCGACAGGGGATATTCAGGTACGCATACCTAAATTTATAACGTAGGTTGTGGTTGTGAATTCGTCACATAGAACACGTCACATACATTTTTTGGAGGCATGTATTTTTAGAATTAATACGTATAAACCTGTGATTTTCTGATATCGACGGCTGCGGGGCTTTTAAGAACTTCAAAGAGTGAGCTCGAGCTTTACTGTACGGTACTTAATATTTTGTAAAGACTCGGTTTAGGGAGGTGCTTTATGTTTTCTAAATACACCGCTCTTCGCTGGCAAGCTACCCAGCTTGAGGGTTGCGGTCAGGTAATCCTGCCGGGCAAAAGTATACATATGTAGGAGGATTTACCTACCTTGAAAGGTGAAAAATAAATTAGGACAGGCAAGTAGATGAGATGATAAATTAAATGTGATTGTTGAAACTTGAATATAATATCCAATTAACCTTTCAACATGTTAAGCCACCTAGCGTTCCCTTTTCTGAATAGTTAGGTACTACTGGGGCCGTTTTCCACTGAAAGCATGCGTATAGTGGTCTAAAGAAAGTCACAGATGTTTTTAATGGCCACTATTTTGTGACAGGCGACGATTAGCGAACTCGGATACGGGGGTGTCTCACGGCCCCGACGAAAAGGTGGCAATTAGGTCAAGGGACTCCCATAGAACCTGTTGTTCGCCCACACGACGGCAGGTAAACGGAAGAAATTTCCGCGAAGGGATCTTTGTCGTCAGTGCGCTCTATTTACTTATAATGTAAACAGTTTAAGCCATTCGATATTCATTCCAATGCTCTAAAAAGTATTGTATCAAAAACTTATTTTCTTATCTCACTAACAAACAGATGCCAAATCCAATCTATCGGTAACTGGTTCCCGAACGAAGCTAATCTTGCAACAGAAACCCGGTCAATATATTTTTCTTAGAAAATTCACCGTCCGTACACCCCCTGGCTTGGGGCCAAAGATTGATCGTTAAGGCAAAATGTCAATAGTGGATTAGTTACCGGCTTTCCTGGGCCCAGCTTATAAATAACAGATGTAGGTAAAACATCACTACTTCATTCGAAGCAAGTCGGAATAAAAATTAAGATTTCAAGAGTAACGACTGAATACTTAAGGTACCTATTAGATTACATAAAACATAGTCCACTTTCCACTTTTGTTAACTCTCCTATAATGCGAATAGCTAGTGACTGCTGTCCCTAGTTATTCGCATGCTGCTTTCCCGAACACTACAATCCGCAAGGTAAGTTAGAGTGAATGGCCATTTGCAGGTCAGGTACGATGTACCATATCCTAGAATGCTTACTTAACATCATATGAGAAAAAGTCAAAATTGCGTCCAATTAAATTGATATTTATAAACCTTTGACGGACTTATTATAATTATTCTTTGAGGGTCGAGGCGTCTAACTTTCCTTCACCCTGCTATTGAATTGAACCTTCGGTTGACATTTACGGATAAAAGGTTGGGATTATTAGTACGAAAGCATTGACATTAAATCCCACACAATTTATGAAATAATGGCTGCTTTCTTCCTCTGGCGGGCGAGTCGCAATATCGTTACTTAGCTTCGTTTCAAAGGAATAGAATATAACGAGTTTAACAATGTTCAATGGGTACCTATTTTCAGTTCAAGGAATTCTTGATACCAATATTATTAATACGATTATAAGAAGTGACTCTGTTTATTTGGATTATGGACCTCAGGAAAAGACTTCTTGATGCAAACAAATTGGCACGAATAACGTGATAAAAAAATAATAGCAAAATAGCAATTACAATAGTTGAAGATAAAACGAATTTGACAAAGTATAAAATTAAGGTGCACATAAAGCGGAGGGAGTAACTTGGTGTATAGAGAATTCATGGAACCGAAGTCCGAAGGTAACAATGCGGACAGAATAACTTGGTGACGGCGAAAGCTTTAGCGACCCCGCGAGCTAGGCAGCCTGGCTGCGACAGCCGGTCGAACATATGACCAAGAGAGTAACCAGCTTCTGGCATAGGGGTGCAAGTCATACCTAGCTTCTGCCCTGGGTACGTCCATGCACATGACGCTGTATGGGAACCACAGTCTGGCTGTCTAGTGCACAGGAGACCGATAACTTTATCCTTTCAGAACAATGTTGGTGGACCAGTGTCAGTTTGTAGCGTCCTATTTAGTGTCATTTGTAACACAATCCGGCGCAGCAATTACAAGTTGTTTCTTATCCGGCGGCTTAACACCCGCGCTGAAAGGTGATCGCAGCAGGGTATTAGCGAAATAAGCTTACGACTCGACTCGTACCGTTAAGGAAATCCATACACGTAAAAAGAATAATTTATTTTATTTTGCAGTCTCGATTATCACTTTTGTTAATGTATTCAGAAGTAGTTTTTTATTTCAGTGCTTACAGGCTAGGTACTAGATAAGCAGTAGTGTTTCAGATTTTAATTTTAAGACCGTCTTTTTGATCGTGAGTCGCGCGACAGTAAAACTGGTAAAATATTGCTATTATATTGCGTTAGGACCAGAGTGTGGAAAATATATTTTCTTAGAGTAGGAATCATTACGCTTCATCATCATCAGGTCATTGAATTTGGTGGCTTACATACCTACCCCACGTTAAAAATATGGGTTGGAGAGGCCTGATTTTCGCATATTCTTGCATTGTCCCTTATTAGCCTTTTACGAGATGAGTGGTCCTATTTTACTCTGCAGGAACTACACGATTAAAATGCTGATACACTGAACAGTGAAATATCACTATTAGGTGTTTGAATTTACCCATTTCTTGGTTGCAGATGGTTGCAGCCATAATCGCGCCTGGCGACTCTACGCGGAGTCGATCCTCAACCCCACTGGTTTCCCAGCAACATTGTGCAGGTCTTGGAGAAGAGACACAGATGAATGCTCGTCATCAGTCGATGGTTACCTGGGGTTTGCTGCACGGCCCCCGTAAGTATTGGGGAACTTGGGTTTTTGCAGTATTTCCATAAATTCTACGACATTTTTTGCAAGCAAAAAGTTGTGCTGAAGCGCTCAGCAATAAGTTTGTATTTTCTACAAAATCATAAATCACTAGTGATAGGTATGCCATTTGCCCTAATAGATACTAAGAAATAATTTGTTGACGATCAATGCGGTAGAACCACAGAACATTCACCCGAAAACCAACCAAGATACAATGAACCATATAAGCTAGCAGCTACGTTCGTAATAATTGATCCCCCTTTGTGATTGCGAAAGTCACGACAGGCCTTATTACATTGGCCGAGTCAATATTTGCGAGGTTTTACGAGTTTGACACTGAGCACGTCCCTTGTATGAATTCGGCTGTAGACACAGACTAACAATAACAGCCAGTTTTCTTAAAAGAATAAGACTTGACGAAATGACACCAAGGGAAAGAAAATGGTGTTATCAATAAATGTCCCAGTTTTCATCTCTCAAAAACGTCTTTAAAATCGTAAATAAATAATGTACAATAAATAAATAAAATAAAATTAAAAAATAAAAACCCTTTTGTATCAAAATGCCCAAAAAGCACAACATAACTTTATTCCAATTGTAACAAAGACGCGTTGCGAATTTTTTGGCTACTTTGGGTGTCACGAACTATTTGACGATGACTGTACTAATTAATTGGGTATTTACATATTCAATCAGTGATAAAAAACACTATAAATCGCCCATGTTTCAAAGGGTATAATGTGCTTTAAAGCATGTTCCTTTTATCCTGAATAGAGTGACTGATCTCCACGGCACGTGTCGAGCTGTGGATACTGCTGGAGGCAGATTTAAAGCTGCAATAACGGAATGGGTGCTCGACACGACGGGAATGTGTTTTATGACGCTCGGTTTAGTTACAGGGCTTGTTTTATTTATTAGGTAGACCACTAAACTTCAAGTTGACTTTCGTATCGTGAATCCATGATGTATGAGCTCATGACGGTGCTTAAGGAGATGGCAGTGACCGGGATTAACTTTATTTCGAGGTAGACAGAAGGTACTGATGAATTTTTAAGCAGCATTTTTCGTCAAATAATACTTGCTAAGTAGGTACTGTCTAAAGGCCTACCTATGCATCGTAGGATTCTGAACTGTGATAAATTGACTCAAATATGTAGGGTCATCGGGCGCTTCGAAATATTATGGGACTTTAATGTCCTTGTCCTTCATTGCAATTGCAACTGATGTCTTTATCTCAATCTGTTGGGAATATTCTACTGGCTTTTTTCAATTGTTTCCTTTTAACACTTTTATAATAACTTTATGTGTCCAGTCGCCTAAACAATCGCTGAAAGTTTACCCTACATCTTAAACTTTACAGGATGGCTGGGAAAATGTTCGTGGAGACAAACGAGAGACCGCCATTTGCAAGGAATGTGCCAACTTCGTCGTGGTGTGATGTAAGGTGCTAGTAAAGTTTTAGTGGTGATATTTAGTGGTAATTTCAAGATGGTTGTGAAAGATAACTTATAAGAACTGTAAGGAATAAGCCTGAAGCACAATTTTTGTTAGACTCGCATAGAAAATATTAAATGAGCACTCAGATACATTAGAAAGATTGTAGAATTCTACATTTTTCAGTTTTACTGATCGATTTCATCTAAAAAAGGGTCTTCACTGTTTTACATGATAGAATAAGTCAAGGGTCAAGTCACAAAATTTTTCGTGATATAGCATGCTTAAAACCTAGTGCCAAAATTGATTTAAATTGTGATGCTAAAAAATCATTTTTACTAAAAATGTAATGAAAATAAAACAGAATCTTTATCAATAAGTATTTTTTATTTCATTTTATAGCTTTACGTTTTTTTGGTAGGTATTTTTTAACAAAACCTTTTTTACAGCAACAATCATCACCTAGTTACAAAATATTGTACAAAGCAAGACAAATGTTCCAAGAAAGTATTTTTTTGTATTGTATTTTTGGTCTTATTATTTGAATACATAATAGTAACTTTTTAAGGTGACACATTGACCGACCTACTGACTACTGACCTACAGTAGAATCGAGCTCTTGTGACCAATTACAGACTTTATACTCAGTAATGAGACACAACCCCGTAAACTTCTTTAATTTTTAATGCTTCCAGAATTAAATCCCTAGACAGGAACTTTCAATCTCAAAGGTAGATTCGACACACATCAGACTGTACATTCTCGTTGCAAAACCCTTTACAACTACATTACACGTTTAGCTTGATGTGACGTCATACTACTACACGGTCAAGTGTACATTACAGCCTTCCACACGGTCGTAATGCTTCGGGTGGAACCAGTACTTCTTGACTGCGAACTTGCTGATCTCATCGTTCAGGTACGCAGTGTGCCAGCATTGGGCCATATCCACGTTATACGCAATGCGGGCTAGGGCTATGTCCATCAGGTCCCGTTCTAGATTACTCATGAAGGGGAAGTCAAACTTCTTGCAGATGCCGTTGTTGTTCAGCAGCATATCGATGGCGAGGTATCTGATTTGGAGACAAATGAATTGTTTTAACATGATTTTGATATTGAGCTACACGTGTCTATTAGTTATTGTCATTATGATTGGCCTCTAGAAACTATACGCTATGTAAAGAGCAAAATGTATTCTGAACCCACTGATAAAGTTTTTTCAACTGCTCCTCTACCTAAGGCTTTATTGGATGATCAAACGAACTTACCAAGTGAAGTTCGATCTGAATTATCCTGTTTTCGCCGAAGAGATTTATTTTACCGTGTAGTACCCCTGTACGACAACCCAATCCGCACACAATATTCAGCGTAGTAGTAGTAAAAAACAAAAGAGCGGGCAACCCCACCCCTACCACGCTGTGGGCTCGGTGTCCGAGCGGTCTCATTATATTTAGAGAAGAGATGACATTGACGTTTACCTCCAGGGAAGAAGATATAGAAATCTTCGGGTTGGGAGGGACCTTAAATCTCTTCGGCGAAAACAGGATAATTCAGATCGAACTTCACTTGGTAAGTTCGTTTGATCATTCAATTATCCTGCTTTCGCCTCCGAGATTTATTTTACCATGTAGATGTTTAGAGCATGGATCAATGTCCATGTTAAATGGTTAAGAGAGTAAATGTCAATGTACTAAATACATAATAAAGCAATATTTTTGTATTATAATCGTATTGCATCACTTATTCATAACAATAACAAGTATCACGGTCTCAACAAGATTTTGTTCATTATAGAGTATTATTATATACATTTATTTGTACTTCTATTAACTGTTAAGTACGACTACTGATTGTAAAAAGTTGCCAAGACAGTTGACAGAGCATCCTGTCTATCCAGCACACTGGCTAATTGTATCAACGTTGACAGCGGCGCAAACCGCAGGCAATACTGCCGCGTGTCGCGTGCTGTGTGGGCCGAACACCCTCGTGTCGACACTCCTTTCCTATATTTATCCAGTTTCATCTCAGAACTGAGCTTGACGACGGTAGTGGTTAACACCGAATCGATCACAGTGACTGCAAGGCTAACACTCTGATTGTTGTAAAACATAAGCTCACTTGCATTTTAATTAATAAATAAATAATGTGGTTAATTAAAACTTATTAATTTATTTGGATACAGTTTGACCAGTATTCCAAAACAGTATTAATTTGGATTCCAAGTAACACTGTTGCGAGGAAAAAGTTTGGTTTCTATTTAATAGCACCTTTTAATAGCAATCTTTTGATTCTTGAAACCTGACCTATAAATTATATTATTTATTTAAATAATTATATATTTCAATAAATTATATGATTTCACTAACGATATTGCTAAGCGGTGGTTATTTAATGTTATTATAGGATGCACCCGACTTTAGAATATGCTAAGAAAATAGAGTAAGGTAGGTACAATGATGTAATTGAGCATTGTAAAAATATTTATTTGTCAGTCATTTAGTGTAGTGGTTTCAAAACGGACTACTATGCCGAGAGGTCCCGGGTTCGATCCCCGGCCGGGCAGAAATTGAATTGATACATTTTAATTTCTGTGATGGGTCTAGGTGTTACTATGTATAATATGTACTTATGTATATAAAAACGGTATTTAAGTATGTTTATATCCGTTGTCTAGGACCCATAGCTTTGCTCAGTGTTTGGGACTAGGAGCGTAGTGTAAAATGTCGAAGGAAGGATATTTATTTATTATTTGCGGAGTGTATAGCGGAGTCTGGTACGTTTTGTTTGATCCACGACTGCCAAATACAAAACTTACTGCAAAGGAAAGGTAAGCTTAAATGGGCAATATGGTACTACTGATGTACCTGTTGCCCCGGCATTCTATTTTATATTTATTTTTTATTTATTTATTTTTAGTGAAAAAACGTATTAACGTCTAAAAAAAAATGGTCGCCATTCTAAGGCGAATTAATTGGAATTAATTCATGTTAATCGTGTAGAAATCTCTACGCCAGACGATAAAATATGAATTATGACTAAATATCAAACAAAGTTCAAGAAACAAAAAATAGTTTTATGTCATGTACTGAAACCAAAGCGTCTAACATTTTCTGAGACAATATTAAACCAAGCTCCTACTCCGTGTCTTTATTCAGACACCTTGATTCAGTCAGCTTCAGTATTATGACTGTGATGATTGAATTTTTATAATCATGTTAAGAAAAAATAACAAAATACTAATTCTCAATTGAAGCATTGGGTGCAACAAGGGCGTATCTCGTAAAATTGAGTTTCGAGAAAATTGACGATGAAAGTTTCAATGTCTTATATTTTTTTAATGTTTATAATTTGACTTACACTTACTTTATAATTTGTTAGTCCCATGATTTAGCAATAAGATTAAGGTATTATAACTATTTTAAAGCAATCGGAAACATCTTAAAATGCGATTTTTTTTACTTGTGTTATCCGCCCTTGTTGCACCAAACTGGTAAACAGATAGGGCGTTAGTTAAATTATATTTTTTTATGACAAATAAATAACAATTCGAATACTTATTTTATTAATTTTAATTAAAATGTAAGTCAAATATGTGTATTTATTGCAATCACCGTTGAAATATTAATTTTCTTAATATTTTTTGCGACTTTCGTGTTTTAATCAGATTTATCAAAATATTCACTAGAATGAAGGGAATCTTCCGAATCAGCTGCAACTGGCCTGGAAGGTCCAGCCTGATCCTCCAGGCCTGCATGGAAGGTCAGGACCAGTTTCAACCACTCATTTGGCTCACTTTTAGCTAGGTCCACGGACCAAGTCACCAGATTGAGTTTTTAAATATTTTCTACTTTTTTAAACTGGTTGCCGCAGTTTCCAGAGCTAAAAAGGTGAACCTTCAATATTTTTGTTAATAAATTAAAACAATAAAATCAACACAAATCTACTCTAGAATCTTAGAGTGAGTCCATTTGCCGGAGGAATAAATAATTGAAAATTCAGTCTGGCGACTTGATCCGTGGACCAATCTAAAAGGGGGCCAAGTCACTGGAAGACTCAAAATTAGTCTTCAGTAATTTTTTACATTAATAAGTTTTTAAAAACTGCATACAGGTCGAATTTAAATGCACTTTTGTTACTGTGTGCAACAAGGGCGTAGCGCCACTTGTGACATAAATTATTCTCACGACATCAGGGAGCGTCTGATCGAAACCAATTTTTGGGATGTTAAACTAGATGGTACAGTGCATGTTTTGATATAATAACATCAAAACGGACTTTCGGTACCGAACGCCCTTGTTGCTCCCAATGCTTCAATTTATACTTCATAGNATTGTGCGTAGGCGCGAACTAGCGATTTATTTTATAATCATTACACCTATGAAATACAGTCCGCCTTTAATTTATATCTAAAGTCTAGTAAGACCCTAACATTGGTCCTTATCTCGCCGTCTACTCGTCTGGTTCCTGAGTGATCGCTGTACAACTGCGTGTCACCGTTCGTCGTGGACTTTGACCGGAACAACGTGGAACCGTCGTCACCTTAGCCGCGTGGAAGAGGATCCTGGAGCTGATGTCACCTATTGTTGGGGAGTATACAGTTCATGCGTGAGTCGTTCCAATTAGTCGCTTCCCTATTTGTCTATTTTTTTTTCAACTTTGCCGAAAATCGTCCCTATTTGCCAACTTAATTCATATTTTCTCATTCATCGTCTTGCTTCTCACTTTATCAGCCCGCAAACCTACTATCTGTCTCTTTCTTTGCGTATTTTTTTGCCAGCTCGTGTTTACGTACACGCGGTCAATAACCCTAACGGGACCCGCCTTCCTTACGTAATCGCACTAAACTGCATTGACTGCATCAATCAGCTGTTTGCGCGCTATTCATACATTTTATTACGCATAATTTCCCTTTCTTTCATTAAACTTTACACGTGCTTGTTCAAATCAAAATGGCTGACATAAAATCTTTACTTAAAAAACGAAGCACGTACAAGTGTNTATTCATTCATATTATTACGTATAATATCCCTTTCTTTCATTAAACTTTACACGTGCTTGCTCAAATCAAAATGGCTGACATAAAATCTTTACTTAAAAAACGAAGCACTTATAAGTGTAAGCTCACAATCTTTAGCAATTATTTAAATTTATTAAACACTGGATCCAAAATTTCAGAATTGCAACGATTAGACCTCGAGGAACGCTTTAGTAGATTCAATGTTATGTACACTGAATTCGATGCATTGCAGAGCGAGATCGAGATGCTCGAGGAGGACCC